GTATGGTTTTCGGCCGGCTTTACAACGTCCACAGGAAAAATGGGGGCGGGGGGGGGGGGGAAAAATCAGGCCAGCAAAATCGCGTGGGTGTCTCGTCTTACGGCCGTAAGGACAGACGGCAAAGATTCCTGTACGCATTATCGTCGTAAGTCCAAGACCGCCTGCTATTTGTTTCAGATATTGGATATCAACGTAAAGGCCACAGCGTTACTGGTCAACCTCGTGGTCCCCCACATGCAGAAGAGGGGGTGAGTATGTCATGGCAACCTTTTGGGGGGGGGGTATTTTTCCTCTTTATACACCGACAGTCCTCGACTTACGACCATTCGTTTAGTGACAGTTCCAAGCCACAAGGGCATTGAAAAAAAGTGATATATTTTTCACACTTATGACCGTTGCAGCTAGGGTCACATGATCAAATTTTGGGCACTTGGTTACTGACTCACACTTGTGACGGTCGCAGCATCCCCAGGGTCACATGATCTAAATTCGGGTGTTTGGCCACTGACTCACACTTACGACGGTCACAGTATCCCCATGGTCACTGATCAAAATTTGTGGCGCTTGGCCACTGGCTCACACTTACGACAGTTGCAGCATCTCCAGGGTCACGTGATCAAAATTTGCGCACTTGGTCACTGACTCACACTTATGACGGTCACAGCATCCCCAGGGTCACGTGATCAAAATTCAGGTGCTTGGCCACTGACTCACACTTACGACGGTCGCAGCATCCCCAGCGTCACATGATCAAAATTCAGGTGCTTGGCTACTGACTCACACCTACGACAGTCACAGCATTCCCAGCATCACATGATCAAAATTCGGGCACTAGGCCACTGACTCACACTTACGACGGTCACAGCATCCCCAGGGTCATGTGATCAAAATTTGTGGCGCTTGACCACTGACTCACACTTACGTCGGTCGCAGAGTCCTGGGGTCACGTGATCCCCTTTTGGCCAAGCCAAGTCAAAGGCGAAGCCAGATCCATTTAAAAACTGCGTTACTGACGTAACAACAGCAGTGATTCACTTAACGACGGTGGAAAGAAATGTCGTAAAATGGAGCATAACTCACTTTACGTTGGCCTTGCTTAGCGATGGAAATTTNAGAAATAAGTAAAGGAAGGAGAAAATAAAAAAGGGAAAAAGAGATCCTTGATAATAGTGAAATACTATAAGAAAGGTAAAGAAGAAGAAGACAGGAAAAGGAATTTTTTATTTTTATTTTATATTTAATACTCCGCATTTGCGCAAAAACTGGTGGGCGGTAAGGAAATTTTTCCATCAAGAAAGATCCATTAGTGGGCGGTAGGTAGAAAAAGGTTGACTACCACTGCTCTTGGCCACCACACCACTCCTTCGGATGGTTGGTTGTAAATTGAGTTTGATTTCAACATTTCAGAATTAATTCTCACGATGGGGGAGTGAAAGTGGACTTCCTTCCACAATTCAGGATTTTTAAGGGAATCCTTTGGCAGCTTTATCAAAGCACCTTCATTTGGTGCTGTGTGGTGTGGGTGTGGATTTGTGTGTGTATTTGTGGTGGGAAAACCAGAGGCTGGGTTGATATTTTCCCTCCGGCAAATTTCTTCCAATCAAAATTCCTGGCCATTGTGGTTTCTACGGTGCAAGACTCAACCTGCCACAGAGACAGAGAACTGGGAATGCGTTTACTCGGTTTGCATTCCCATCTGGGCTAGGGTGGAATAAAAAAAGGTTTTCCAAAGGAAAAACAAATCTTATTTTCTCTGATTTTTAGGACATCGTCCCTCCTCGGTGGTTTTAAGATTCTAAAATGGGAATGTTGCTTCTTTTCAGAAGAGGCTGGTTGGTTTCACTGTTTTGCTTGGGATACCTACAGGTAGTCCTCGTCTTACGACCGCAATGGAGCCCAAAATTTCTGGTTGCTGAGCGAGACATTTGTGAAGTGAATTTCACCCCCTTTTACGACTTTTCTTGCCATCGTTGTTAACTGAACCCTTGCAGTTTTTAAGTCGGTAACAAAGTTGTTAAATGAATCTGGCTATCCCCATTGCCAGAAGGTCGCAAAAGGGGGGGGTCACGTGATCCCAGGACCTGTGACCGTCATAAATATGAATCAGTTGCCAAGTGTCGGAATTTTAGTCATGTGCTCATGGGGATGCTGAAACAGTCAGAAGTATGAAAAAATGGTCACTTTTTCCTGTGGTGTAACTTCGAATGGTTACTAAACAAACTGTTGTAAGTCGAGGACTGCCTGTAGCTATTTTGTGCCACAGGAAGAGAATTGGATCGAGTTACATATAGCTTTATATGGCATTTTTTTTATTAAACAGTTGCAAAAAAAGAGGGAATTTACATTTGGAAGGGTGTTTTTTTAAACCCTGAAAACTTTAAGAGGGGAGGACTTCAACTCCCAGAATTCCCCAGCCAGCAAACCTTGAATTCTGGGAGTTGAAGTCCTCCCCTCTTAAAGTCCTCAAAATTGAGAAAAATTGTACTACAAGCTGGGTTAGCTTTTTAAATCTTCTTTTAATAATCCCTTGCGGGAGTAGAGTCTGGGCGACTGAATGGAGCTAGCAGAGTATTTACTGGCCAGATGCCCTTCCCTGTTGCCAGGGTGGAGTTTTGTTCGGCAGATATATATTCTCATATATATAGAGAGAAATATCAGCCTCTACCTAGAATCGAACTCACAGCCTCCTGGTGGTGAGGCGAGAACTCTACTTCGAGGCCACTGCGCCACTCCCTGGGTTAGCTTTTTAAATGGCGGTCTTTAATTCTCTGTTCTTTTTTTCCTAGGCCGTTGAGCGCTACGGGGGAATTGATATTTTGGTCAGCAACGCCGCTGTGAACCCGTTTTTCGGACGTATATTGGATGCCTCGGAGGAAGTCTGGGACAAGGTGAGAAATAGCAAATGAGGACCGAGGAGATGGGCTTTGTAGTCCGGAGGGTGCATCCTGCGGGAAGCTTAGCATGGCCAGTTTGCGGGAGGAATCCTGCTGGCAAGGCCAAACATCTGCAAAAATGGATTGGGAAAACGGTTGGGGATAAAAAAATATTGCTTGTCTGCTTTAGAGGTGGTCCTCACTTAACGCCGGCCCATTTGAAATTAGGACAGATTCCCCCCAAAAGCTAATTGCAATCTGGTTCCAGAATTCCAACATCAGCATGCACAAACACACACACACACACAGCACAAATGCACACACCCCGTATATACAAACACAAATTTCACCTTTAAGGTCAGTTGCGACGTTAACTCAAAACCGGGACGCTGATTTGGGCGAGTTTCCCGTCTTTTCCAGCCAGTTTTCCTCCCAAATTGACACACTTTGCGACGGCTGAGCTCGTTTTACGATGGCTGTGCATGCTTTTATGACGGGGGCGTGTGGAGCGGCGTATGGTTTTCGGCCGGCTTTACAACGTCCACAGGAAAAATGGGGGCGGGGGGGGGGGGGGTTTAAAATCAGGCCAGCAAAATCGCGTGGGTGTCTCGTCTTACGGCCGTAAG